TCGCGCTGTGATGACGTCACGTACGCGCTTTCGTCGAGCGCGCTTTATTCTACTGCAGTTTTGTGGTGGAACCGGTTTTTTGTTGTAATGTATACTTTTTTTTCACATTTTCTGCAACCATTTTATACACAATTAAAGTTACACTTTTCTTTGAAACTTCTAGACAGAGAGGATGGCAATAAGAGCACTCTGGACAACTGAGAATAACAAGCAACATTGAAAAGGAAATAAAATTGAGCCAGAAATCAAAATATATTCCATTTTCTTCAGAAAACCACACAATTCTCCTTCTCCAGCAGCTGATAGACAAAAGAGAGTAAATTAACATGAGATTTTGAGATGGAAAAAGTAGAGGATACAAAACTCAAGGATACATTGCATGAAAGATAAAGGAAGATTCTTTTTCATTCAGAAAAAGATGGAAATATGTGGAAATTAGGGGGAAGGAAAAGGTCTTATTGGGCAGGACACATAGGACAGACAATGATACCGGCTCTGGGAAGAAGCAGCCGGCTTTAATCAAAACACCACTAAACAATAGCTCCTACATATTTTTGACCTCAAGAATGTCAGTTGTGGAAAAGCTCTGTAGATTTGCCTATTATAGGGAAAGCTCAGATTGCAAATCATAGCTGATTAAGCAAGACGATCCAAGCTGGAGAAAAGCCATACAAATTGCTCTGGTAATACTCTGGTTTCTCTTCAGATCGTATAAATCTTTCGCCCTTCGCCATACAAATTATCCGAATATGGCAAAAGGTTTGGTCAGAACAGCTTCTTTGTGGTTCATGGAACAACCCACCCAGGAGAGAAGCCATACGAGTGCTCCCAATGTGAATACTTTAGTGAGCATGGCAACATGGTGATACATCACAGGACGCCCATTACATAAGAGTGTCCAGATTCTATGAAAGTTTCATTGAAAATGACTACCTCATGTGACAACACAGGACTCGCACAGGAGAGAAACCCTTTGAATGCCCTATCTGTGGGAAAGGTTTCAGAATGAATTGCCACCTTGTGAGACACCAAAGGACTCACCCAGGAGAGAAACCCTTTGAATGTCCTATTTGTGGGAAAAGTTTCAGTNTGATCTAAATTCTTACTAGCAGAGAACCTTTAAGACAGGGGTGTCAAACTGGCGACCCATAGGCTGGATGCGTCACATGCAGGCAACGCCCTACCCAGCTCCGCGAAGGGGGAAATGAACAAAATGTCATGTGACAGGAACATGACATGGCACGTTTGACAACTGTGCTTTAAGACAAGATTGGCCAGAGTGTCCGGAATGATAGGATCTTCTACCTGAGAATGAGATAGGACTAGAAGACCTGCAAGGTCCCTTCCAACTCATAAATTATTCTGTTATGGATTTGCTATTCTCTTGGCAACCGAATTGCATTGATTCTGCCACTAGTCTTTTTCTGGGATTTTTGTTTTTTTACTTCCATGTCTTGCCAATAAGCACAGTATTTCCTATTGGTGCTGCATCTGTGTATTAACCAGGTTCAACTGAACTTAATCTAGCCTTTTTTAAAAAAATTGCTGTTGAGGACCTTTAGGATGTTCAGTTGTATAGGTAGTCCTCACTTACCACTTGTTCCCTGAGCCTTCAAAGTTACAATGACACTACAAAAGTAGGTGGACACTTGGTCCAGAAATCTGTATTCATCGTAGCACTTCTTCAGTTCCTGTGGTTGTTAAGGTGCAGGAAAAGGAGAGACACCAACTTGGGTTCTGCCAACCGTTGCACATTTATGATGGCTGCAACATCCCACACTCATGATCCCCATTTGTGACCACCTCAGCTAGATTCTGACAAGCAAAGTCAGTGGGGATGCCGGCAGGAAATTGCAAGTTGCAGTTTGTGAAATTGCCTTTAACAGCCCACAGAGATTTGCTTAACTGCACAGGAACAGATGTAAGTTGGCACTGTCATGTGAAATCATGCTCCATGACCAGCTGCTTAGTGACCCAGAAGCCAGTCCCAAGTGCACTCGGTAAGTCAGGACTGCTTGAATTGGGAAGTCACCAGAGAGATTGTGGAAAGTATTTTCTGCCCTTATTTGGAGCTCATGGCTTCCATGGGGATAACTGGTGCTTCAAATCTTGCAGAGGATTTCAGCATCATTTCCTCAGTTAAATCCCCACATCTCTAAATTTAGCTCAGAAGGTTTGATTGTAACCATTTTGGGACAATATTCAGGTTGAAAACTCATGGATCTTCCACATATATTCATTTGTAGGTAGTTTGTATCTATATTTCTTTCTGTAGGCATATATCTGCAATTATATAATCTGTCCTCAGTACATCCAGACATATTTGATGATAACCCTTTGCTAAGAATTTGTGATTGACCCAAGTTAACAACATAATTTCATGGTTGAATAGATATCTTGGTAGTCTTCCGTGTGTCAAATGAATCATAATGTAAGAGGTTATTCTAGAATTGTGGCATGTTTGGTTTTTTGCGTGACCCGTCAAAACCGCGGTCCACTAAAGCGCGCCCGATTAAAGCGCGTACGTGACGTCATCAGCAGCGCGACGAAAAAAA